CTCGTCTGGTAGTAAAGGGTTCAATCAAAAGAAAAGATTGACTTTGATGAGTATTTTCTCCTATTGTAAAGTGAGCTTTATTTGGGTAATTTTTAGTTTTACTGTTAGTTTAGATCTTGAGCTTAAACAATTAGATGTGAAGACAATATTCCTTCACGATGATTTAGAGGAAAAAAATCTACATGGATCAACCAGAGGAATTTGAAGTTAAAGGAAAAGAATACATGATTTGCAAGTTGAAAAAGAGTTTGTATAGATTGAAATAGACTTCGAGATAGTGGTACAAGAAATTTGATTCTTTCATGGTCAATCATGGTTATACTAAAACAGATACAAATCATTATGTGTACTTCAAGACAATCTCAGATAGTAAGTTTCTCATTTTATTACTTTATGTTGATGATATATTGATAGTAAAACAAGACACTACAGAAATTAGTAGTTTGAAAAAAGAATTGTTTGGCTCTTTTGATATAAAAGATTTGGACCCAACACGATAGATTTTGGGTATGCAGATTACTTGTGAAAGGAAAGCTAAAATATAATACTCGAGTCTGGAAATTGACCCGAGATCAATTTTCGCAATTTAAAAATAAATAAAAATATTATTTATAGATTAATTTAATTTAATTTTGTTAAACTATTAAAAAAAATAAGTTAGCGATGTAATCAAAAATAATTTTAAAAAAAATGGGTAAATATTTATGTTCAGATAGTGTTTTTAAAAGAAAAATTAAAAATAAGGAATCAAAATATAAAAAGAAAAAATTTGGTCATATAGGACGACCCAGTCAGCAGCCCCACGAACCAGAGCATGCCGCATGGCAAGACACACTGATGTCGGTGCCTTGTGGGAGGCCACGTGGGCGATTCGTGTGCCCAGTGATAAAATGGTCCAGGATCAATCTCGCGCCCGTGGACAGCTCAAATCCATTCCCTTTTTAGGCGCGATTAGACAGACGAGATCAATCACGATGAACAGTCCGATTTGTTTCCTCTTTAGGCACGATCGGACAGATGAGATCGATCACAATGAACGACCCAAATCGATGCAAGATGGGTACAAATATTTCGCGTCACATGAGAAATCAAACCCTAACTGCCAGCCCCCGTTGGAGAAGAAGAACCAGGCGATAGAGAAAGAGGCTGATCGCCGACCGCCGCCACCTTCGACCGCTAAAAAATGTAAAAATTCTCCCTACTCGCTCGGAATTCGATTATGAGCATCCCTATGGCCAAATCGGAGTAAGAAGGACTGCGGGTGAGCTGGAAACTGCAGAAAAAGTTCAGCGGAACTGCTGCAGCCAAAATCCAAAAATCCCTCTGATGAGCTCCTATCTGCTTCCCGTTTCACGTGATTTTTCGGTCATTGTGTTCACCGTTATTTTATGCACAAATTAACCGAAAAAAAGATCTCAGTTGTAAAGGACCGGTGGAGTCGCCGCACCGAGAGGTCCCCTCCCCCCCCCCCCCCCCCCCCAGCCAGTAGGTTCAGTTTTTGTAATTTTTCTCCCAATCAAGACCCCCTCTCTAATGTATTTTTTTACAAGGATATGTGCAAAATTGATCAAAACGGGCAAAAATCAACCAATCTGAGGTGAATTGCTGTTGTGGCCAACAGAGCTGGTGCCGGAACACGGCGGCGCCGCTGTGCCTGAACTCTAAAATTAGTCAAAAAGAGTTTTGGACACCGATTTTTAATTTTTGAGATATTTTTAGGTATGGAATGAGTGTTTTAAATTCACATGAAAAATTCAAAAAATTCAGTACCTGTCAGGAAGCATAGTAGACAACTTGACGTCTCGAAACACCGACTCGAATAAAAATCTCTCACCCTATTCTCCATTACGGTAAACTGAGGCTTAACATTATATAATTTTGTGTTTTTGTGAAAAATTAGAGAATCTTAAAAATAATTACAGATCACTCGTAGATGCAAAACTGGTTAATTCACGATTTGTTTTTTATTTTCTGTTTATTTTTCTGTATCGCTCTTTTTACTTGTTTTTATATGATGCATGTTCTTAATTTATATTTTCTATAACCTTATCGATTTATTTGGTTTATTCGGTTATATACTGTCAGCATGAATATAGTTTAATTGATCTGTAAATACAAAATGAGACAGTGATTTGCGTGGTTGGTTATTTTGTTGATAGAAATCTTTATGTGAAAGACTTAATAGGTACTCAGAAAAAAAGTGGACGAGCCTGGTACGTAGAGAACTCTACTGTGAATGGTATATTAGTCGAAAAGGGCTGGAAAGTCACTTACCGAGAAAGTTTGAGAGATACGGTTCATCCTTATACCGGACGGAATATCAAGGCGATGGAATGTTTGGCGCCCATTACTGAATGGGGTATGGGGACAGCCGGTTAATTGTTTAAATTGGATATTGGGTTCACGAGCAGTAAGGATATCCTTATGGACCCCCAAAGATACCAATAAGCAAGTAAGAAAGGAATGTTATCATCTCTTATTTTCTTATGCATAAAAATAAAAAATGATATGAATATGGGTTTTCATAGGTTATTTTTGGAAAACTTGTTACAGTAAGTACGAAATAAACAATTTTTTTTATATTGAATTAATTTACCCAAAATAAGGGCTCCATTAGTTGTTTTATGATTTTTACCAATCTTCAGTTTTTCGTATTTGTGATTAGTGTGATATTCTTATTGGGATAGTGTAGCTCACCCTTTCATTAACCATTTCAGATCAAGAAAATCAAGATCCAGATCTCGATCAGTAAGAGAGTTGTGAGTAGTTCACCACTCGGATTCCCTTCAAGTGCTAGTGAATGTTGTCCTATGAGACTTATTTATTCGCTTTTCTTTTTATTTATTTAATTACTGTTTGTCTTTTAGTATGGACATTTATGTAACCCTATTAGACATTTTAAATTATTGTGTAAGGAATGTAAACCTTATCTCTATTAATTGCTTCCGCATTTAAATTATAAATTCATTTCCTTTAAGGTTCTGGATCTTTACATAAAAAGTTATGGTTGTCACAAGAAAGGTATGTTGAGCAGATTCTAAACAGATTTCATATGAAGAATGCTAAGCCAGTTAGCACACCACTTGCTAATTACTTCACACTTAGCAAGACATTATGTCCTACTACTCAAAAAGAAAAAGAAGAAATGTTAGTTATTCCTTACTCCTCTGTAGTTGGGAGTTTGATGTATGTTATGGTTTGCACTCGACCAGATATTGCTCATGTTGTTGGTTTGGTAAGCAGGTTTTTTTTTTTTTAATCTTGGTAAGAGTAATTGAGAAGTAATAAAATGAATTTTCATATATTTGAGAGGTATTTCTAAGATGTGCCTATGTTTTGGAGGTTCAGAACCAATTCAAGAGGGATATGCAGATGCAGATATGGCAGATGACCTTGATTGCAAGAAGTATACTTCAGGGTATGTGTTTACTTTTGCAGGGGGAGCTGTATTATGGCAGTATAAATTGCAAAAATGTGTTGCCTTATTTACAACTGAGACAGAGTATACAGTTTTGACAAAAGCAGGTAAAGAAATGCTTTGGATGAAAAGATTTTTCGAAAAGTTGAGTTTGAAGCAAAATGAGTATGTGATGAATTGTGATAGTAAAAGTGTTCTAAATTTAAATAAAAATGTCACATATCATTGTCAAACTAAGCATATTGATAAAGATATGTTACAAATTCAACTAACATATTGACCAAGATAGTAACTCGTAACAAACATCAGTCTTGCATCAAAAAGGTAGGATTGATTGGACATTGAGAAATGTATGGTGGATATCTCATTATGGACTAGAGGGAGAGAGTGTTGGTTATATATCCAGCTCAAAAAGGGCAAATTAGCAATTTAAAAGAAAAGGAAAAAAAAAGGGATTAAAACTGCAATTTCCTCATATATATATATATATATATATATATGTATACGTTGCACGAAAAAAAAATCGGAGAAAGAGAGATGTGCAGAAAAGAAAGAAAAAAAGAAGAAGAGGAATAGGAAGGGATATATATATATATATATATGTACATATATATATAAAGAGAGAGAGAGAGAGAGAGAGGTTGAGTGAGGCTAAGAGAAAAGGAAAAATGAGGTTGTCATTCTCTCTCATCGGTGATCGCAGACGTCAGTTATTTCATCTTTTTACAAAAAAAATTAAATTTGATTTTGCTTACCTTTTTTTTTAAGTTCTGCACACACAAAAATTGTTTTCTTTTGTTTTGTATTTAATTTTTAATTAATTATTTTGTAATTATTTTTATTAATAATAAATTTGATTCAGAATTTTAACCGTGATTTTTCTCTTCACACTGAAAGATTTTTTTACATAAAATCTTGTGCGTATTTAATTTTATAATTATTATTTATTTATTATTTTTAATCAGTTGTAGATCATTTTAACTTAAAATTATGATTATTAATTTTTGTTAATTAATTTAAAATTAATTTAATTTACAAAATTAATTTTATCTCTATTCGAGACCCAACAATATATATTACATCATCATATAATGTACATATAACATGTTGTCGGTGATAATTCTAACAATCATATCCAAAAAAAAATGGTTACACTTGTCACCTCTTCCCACATTTTCTTTAAGAAAAAATAAAATGTGTATATAACATTTCTAATGGTTAGTTTTCCTCCTTTGAAGCCAATGCATCTCTCATTGCATATTTGGACAATACCCCTGTTAGGACAGCCTTCTCCTTGATTTTTAACCTAAATACAAGATAAACAGGCAGATCTTAGGGAAACTATAAAACAAAAGGAAATTTTAGGATAACAAAATAGCTGAGCATTCAAAATTGTGGAAAATAACCTCTTTGCAGATCCCGGTACTTTTACTTTGGGAATCTTTCGTACTTTTCCTTTAGAAAGTAACTTTTTCTCAAGAGCTCTGATTTTGCTCAGCTGCTTTGGGGAATCTGAATCGGCTGTGCATTCTATTGTTGTTTCTGGGCAAGCATCACCTTTCGCCCCTGCTGCATTATTATCGCCAGGATTCTCTTGGACTTCTACGGTTTTAAGTCCCTCAAGGTCATCATATGAATTCCCAGGTTTAACAGTAATAGTTTCTGGCAGTGAATCCAAGGAACAATCATCCACATTGAAATAAGCATCATTGTCAGATTCTGAACTAAGATCTGTTGCTTCACGTCCATTGATGACATGGTCAGAGAATGTTTCATCCTTGGACTTCCGAGAATTCATCATGTCAAATTTTATTTGCTTCTGAATTTTCCCGAAGGATATACTTTGTCCAGAAAATGTTTCTACGAACCTGCCATAGAAGGAAATTTATTCGGTTACTTCATGCTAGTGTGCCTAAATGATTGGATAACTACCTTAACATAATAATAAATGTGGTGAACATCCACGTACCTCCCTAAGAATATAGGAATATTAACCTGATTCTGATGAAATTTATAGGGGAAAAAAAAGGAAACAAAAAACAAAAATGAAATATATACCCAAGCTTAGTTGTTAATGAATACCTTATTGCATCAACTTCAGACTTGAAATCAACAAAAGCAAAGCCCTTGCAGACAGGATCCTTCGTCTTCTTATTTCCGGTAACAGCTGGCATGATATTTGTCATACCAGAAACTCCATTAAAAGCATTTCTTAGATCCCTGTGGATATTCTTTTTCTTAGGAAGATTAGTTATACAAACACGAATTCCACTTGAAGCAACTCCAGGGGCTGCAAAATTCCAGATTGAACTTCTTAGTCCAATTCAATAGGGCATTGTAACAAACATTATGCAATGTTGCATATGATCATGAACTGGACAATCAAATAAATGCAAATGAACCGACTTATATGATGGATTTCCAACAATAGTTCCAACAAAGTGAAACCCAGAAATTCCTGCAGTCCATCCATCTTCAGGGAATGTCACCATCAGTGATTAATGTGATTTTATTTAAACCTTTCTAATGCATGTATCCACATAAAGTTAGCTGATGTATACTCTATTTATTCGGTTAGTCTGTGCATTGTTATGCATGGAAGATGAACATAGTAGTCCAGAGCAATTAAAAGCAATTTCCTTTCTTGAAGCAGCATCAAGACTCAAGTGACCAAATAAGACACTACAAGCAGGATTCAAACAGAGAGAACCATAGTATTTAGCTCGGCAAAATATAATTCGATATCTTGCTTCATAAAGAGCTAGATCATGTTTCTTCTCAAAAGTTAAAATGGATTCATCTAAAAACTCCGAACAACAGATCATTTTCTGACAGAATCAAGATGTGGTCTTTGCTATGTTAGCAAACACCAATTTATTCACAGAGGTGTCTCTTGGTGCTTCTCGGTGCTTCTTTACAAGTTAAGATTCCTATGATTATATGAGCTGCAAAGTGTGCAACTCAACTAGGGTATTAAATTTAGTCTGGTGTTTTCTTGGTGCTTCTTTAACAAGTTAAAGATTCCTGTAATCCTACAAGCTGAGAATGATGCAACCAAACTAGGGTCTTAAAGTGTGGTCCGAACTCAATTTTAATGGATATCCGTTAGAAACTTAAATTGAACTCAACTTGTAGACACTATAACATTCAGTAGTTCAGTTCTGAGCATCACTGTATACTCTATTCATTTCATTAGAAAATTCATGTTTTCAAAGTTCTTCTACGAATTTCTAGTGCACATTCATTAATCTAACAATGAGATGAGTACAAGAACGATCTAAAGATAAAGTGGAAGAACAAACCAAGATTAGTACCAATTCACAAATTAATCAAGAAGTTCGGTAGATATAAATAGATTGAGTCTACGAGAAAATCAAACATAAAACCGAAAAAAAAAACGGCGAATCGTGTTCTTAATAACTTGATGCTGACCTTTCTTTTGATCATCTTTCTTGGAAGCAGGCAGGACAGAAATGTTCTTAAGTTTGTTAATATTAGCAGCCTGTGCCTGCCTACTTTGCTCCAATTCTTCGAGCAACTTGTCTTCAATAGAAGTATCATACACTTTCCTTTCACCAAACCCACGAGGCTTGTTTTCAAGCCACTTCTTCATCTTCCCCATTGGTAAAAGCATGCCCATGTCTTCGTCGTCGTCGACATCACCGCTATAGTCATCCCAATCGTCTTCATCAAAATCGTCCATTTCCATCAGCTCGGTGCCACCTTTTCTTCCCTTCTTTGCAGCAAAAACACAAAACCCGTTACGGTTTTTTTCAATAACAGCCCGCGAACTAAGATGGATTTGGCAGAATTCCGTTGAAGAGGTCGGAAATGGAGGGTTTTTAGAGCAGAAAGTGAAGAGTGAAGTAGGCCAAGACGCAAGAAGGCTTTTGTGAGAATGAACTAGAGAAAATGAACAGGCATTCATTGTGCTGATAAACGATAATGAACTGCTGAGTGATAATCCCCCAGAGGTCAGCATCATTCGTCTTCGAAAGTTGAGACTGAGCGGTTCGTTTCCCTGTCAAAGGGATTTTGCAAAAGATTTGTCTTAAAAGCAATTTGAGTAAATATTTCTAAAGGTCCCCCTCTAACACGGTGGTGTCGTGGTGTAGTTGGTTATCACGTCAGTCTAACACACTGAAGGTCTCCGGTTCGAGTCCGGGCGACGCCACTTAATATTTTTTTGGGCTTTCCTCATTTCGAACTTTCTAACCTTGGTTGTTACTTAAAATGGTAAATGACGATTGCTTATTGTTCATTTGGGCCCATTAAGAGGGTCTATGGGCCCTTTGTTGATTTATAAGTAAAGCCTAAATACGTCTCCTAGATTATAGGAGAAATTTACAAATGCTTCATTGTTCATTTGCTTGCTTGCTTCTAAGTATCCTAAAACATCTGAATGAGTACCATATATAATTATAAAATTAATATAAAATACCGTTTAAAATATATAATACCAAGCTTTTTGAGCTAAGAGATTGAATGAATAATTAGACATATCCTGCAAAAAAGATGTTATTGCTCAAGCATGTTTTGTATATAATATGAGAAGAAAAATAATTATTATTTAGTTAGTAATAATAATTTCAAAATTTTAATGTTTTAAGATATTTTGCCCAGTTTTATTATTTATAAATATAAAAAAAATTGAAATAAATAAATAAATTATAGGGAAGAGAGGCAATGAGCATTTGCGAATTGTGGCCACATCCTCTTTGAGAAACCCTAAACTATCCTCATCCTCATCTCAGAAACCCCTTTGTCCCACATCTCATCTTGTGCTTCACGGACTCTTAACCCCTTCATTTGTAAGGACAGTCCTTAAAAAAGGGAGAAGAGTCTGAATGCCCTTTATTCCCTACGACTATCCCAATTTGCAAATAATGTCTTCTCACATTTTTTTTTTTTTCATCTGTTCAGGTGAATTATATATACAAAGAAAATATATATATATTTTTTATTAAAGAATTATTTTCTGCATATCTTCTTTTTTTCTTGATTTGATTTAACCTGGGGATTACGTGTATTGAGGACATAAATAAATAAAATAATAATGGAGATATATATATATATATATAAAACAAAAATTGCTAGGCTGTGTAGAGCCCAGAAATGAACGAGTTCTGGTTTGTGGTCTGTCCAATCCCATTCTTGATTTGAAACTGTAGGGACAGAGGAAGCATACTTCCATGGATGTTGGCATTAGGTATGTAGAGCTTTCTCCTCTTGCCCTCCAATTTTTTTCTAAATTTAAATTTAAATATATATAATTATACACTTCAACCGGTCAATATTGGAAAGCTAGTTTAGTTCCATTTTTCTCCACTATATAAAGATTTAGCTAGAGATTATCCAAACTAAAAATGAAAAACACTCAACAATCACCATGAATTTTTAACTCTTTAAATTGCAATTAGATGGAACAAGATGATGTAAAAATTGTAATTCGCACAGTATTCCAATTACGAGGCACAACTTTACTAATTAAATCATTTTTTTATTATTATTTAATTAAATAAAATTAAAGTAACATCCAAAGTTTTTATATAGACACTGGCGTTTCTTATCCTCTCAAAAGTGTTGTTAAGATTTCATTTTATATATTCTTGTGGGTTTTTATTAAGAGACAAAAATAAATAAATAAATACATGAAAAGAAAATGTTAAAAAATTTAAAATAAAAAAAAGAAACTTGAGAAAGGGTTGCCGCGATAGACAAGCCGATTTGTCAGTTGCGTAAGTTGTAGATAAATTAGTCAAATTTTTGGGATTCAAAATTTCAGGCCCATTGACTTGTAGTACGTGCCACGGCCCCATTAATACGCTCCTTGCCCAAAACAAGACTCGGATTGATTAAGACGTCTAATTTCTCATTTTTTTTCTATTTTATCTTCGATTACGCAATGCATATGTAAATTAAATTCATTTTAATTAGATAATATTTTAAGTTAAATTAAATTCAACTGAAATTAATTATTTTTCCAATTGTTCAAATTTTGGAACAATCATAATTGAAAATCATCCAAAAGCAAATGAACAAACATACACTTTTGTTATTTTTGTTTGTTTGTATTCAATGAAATTAAAATTGAATTAAAGTCAACTTAACACATACTAATAATAACATAAACACTATCTTATCACATACTAAGTGTCATTAATCCCTTGTTTGGGCGATGAGTGCGGGTTTATTGGATATCTTAATCAATCCTCTACCCAAATAAAAATTTGTGTAATTAGGCAACTTGATTGGGGTAATATAGAATCTATGAATATAGAATTGTAAGGTGATGTTTGTATATATATATATATATATATATATATATATATAGGAAAAAGACGGATCAATTAAATTAAATCTTTAATTTATAAACTTAGATTAGATACCCAATGGAATAAGACGGGTGTGTTTTGCTTAAGCCAATGCTTTAGACGTGGGATCAATGAGGTTAATAGCCACTTTCAAAAGCAAGATAGCTACATGATTATTTCGTTCTAATTAATACCATAAAGCCCACATTGATAATCAACCTACCAAACTTCTAGATTACACATACACACACACATATATATATATATATATCAAGGAGAAAATAAATAAAATATTATATTCTTAAATAATAAATTTAAGAGATTGTTCTAAAATCTTAAATTAATAGAAAATAATTTAATTAATTGTTTAAATTGTAATATATTCCTCCACTCATAAATCATTAGATTAAACCGTGAATTCAGAAATTAATTATTTATATTCTAACAATTACATTAATTATTCTATAATTTTAATATGTTTACAATTATTTTCTGTATTTTTAAGAATATAAGTTTATATTTTGTAAATTGAAGGAAGAAAAAGGGTAACCCCTCAGTAGTAAAAAAAATCAATCAATGAATCAATAATTAATTAATTATAAACTTAAAACATGTTTAATAGAATATTAAAAACAAAGATTGAGAAATTAAAATAAAATATAAATGGTAAAATTAAAGAAACACGCATGCACCTAAAATTCAAAAGCAATATTGTGTTGAATTGAAATGGAGTTGGAGTTGGAGGTGGAGGAGTGAGTACGTTGAATCGCATGTCTCAATCTGTCGCACCGACCAAACTCGCAAATCACCTTAACGGGTCCTCCATGACTTTCAATTTGGGAACCCAACTGCACATAATTTATACTCAGGCTCTTGTAAATCAAATTAACTATATATATATATATATATAGATATGTGCAAGCTTCAATAGGAAAGGATAAATAAACAAATACCCAGATAGAAAATAAGGTTGAAAATGGTGTTGCCACTCTCCTTGAAGCAATAAAAGTTGTCTTGCAATATGCAATCACATGTATGTTCATATGTGTGTGTGTACGCGGGTGTATACATACATATATATATATATATATGTGTGCATAAAGCTTGAGTATGGATCGTGTGAAGTTTGTCTATGGACACGAGTAATGGAGAATGAACAAGGAAAGTTACAGAGATGGGCTTCAATGCTCCAATCTCCATACACATATTAGATTTTAAATCATATAATTTGGATTCGGATTCATATGTATATATATATATATATATATATATATATAATGTCAATTGATGATAATAAATTTGTATCTCCATTCGATCATAGTGGCAAACTAGATCTTATATATATACATATATATATATATATAAACAGTATATTATATCATTCTCTTTTTACCCTTACAGTTGCCGCAAGTAAGTTTTTGATTTTTTTTTTCTTTTTAAATCAATTCTCAATTAATTTATCTGATAAATTAAATAAATATGTGAATATTATCATCAAAGGAAATTTAATTCTTAATATTTTTATCATTTCTCCTTTAATTTATCTGAAAAAAATACATAAATATATACACATATGCCATTAAAAAAAAAAAAACCAAATTTAATGTGTACATTACTACAAGACAATTATATAATCAAAAAGTGATGACATGATTGTCCCATACATTAATAAAATTTTAATTAATTAATTAATTAAAAATGTTTATTTTCATTATCATTAATTTATTAATTTAATTTTTCAAAATTATTCTTTAAGTTATTTTTCAAAATATTTAAACACGATTTAATAATTTTTTTTATATAAAACTATGCATTTAAAATGAATAGAGAAAATTATAAATCAAATTGTATTAAGAAAAGTAAAGATGAAATTGTAATGTAAATTATACACTATCACTAGATTTTTTTATATGAAGGTCCAAGTGGATTCTTTTGTGAGAAAAATAAAAAAGTTTGATAGTCTTAGGGCAGTATGATTGAGGCATGGATAATATAATTGTACATGTTTGGCATTTCATAAATAATTTAATTGTGTAAAAATTAAATCGAAAAGACTAGTGTTAGTGTTAGTAACTTTACATTATCAGTCGCTTTTAAAGATTTTATAAGGATAACAATATCTTGAAAATAAATTGATGGAAATTATGGCCCTCCAACATTTAACTTAATATATAACCAATATAGAAAGCACAACTGGGTAACAATTAAATGGTTCGTAATTATATAAGTGTAAGAAGATTATCGTAATTATAACTAATTATTTTCCTAAAAATATATATTTAATCATAATAATATTATAAGTATGTTTGAAAAATTTGAAGTGAATTCTGGAGAATTAGTTGGTGTCGCGTAGTAGCACTAAATGTTGGGTGTGGAGGAGTCAACTACGTGTTTATGAACTATGATGGGTGCCTATACAACACTCACTCACTATTCTTTTATTAATTTTACTTTTAATTTTATTTATACAATTTCTACTATTTAATTATTTATAATTAAAAATAACAATAAAAATGAATTAAATCAAAGGGCTCATGCAATGGGTCTCCTGGTGCTAATAATATAGAATTCAGTCAGCATCTACCGGGCAGTCATTTCAGTATTGCGTACTTAAGAGGGGAAAATATGTATGAGCATTATACACTCAACGTGAAAGTAAATTGTATCAAATATATATATATACATACATATAGTTTGTATGCATGTATATTTAGATGATGGTTGAGGAGCAATTAATGTAATGTGATGGGTGATAAAATGACATAAAGTTGAAACTAAAACGCAAAAAAAATAAAAATAAAAATAATTAATTAATTATGGAGATTGGAAGACAGAAATCAGAGTAGGCCTAGTTGATCTGAGGTTTGATGTGCAATACTTGCTTTACTACATTATTAATTTGCTCTACCAAATTTGTTAAGAGTGCAAAAATTTATCAAACTGGTTTAACTGATTCAAATTAGAATTAGTTAAGAGAGATCCGTTTGATTATATTAATTAACTTTTTTAATTTAATGAATGAGTTGACATGACTTTGGTATGGTAAAAGTCACTTATAATTGCAAATTACTTAGTTATGAGTAAATAATAATGAAATGATAATTGAAATTTGGGTTGGTAAAAGTGAAACCAACAGTTTTTTTTTTTTTTTTTTACTTTTGATTGGAAAGATGGAGTGGAATTTGGCATCATCAGAATGAAAAGCTAATATATATGTACTCTGGCTTAAGCATTAAAAGGTGAAAGATTTCTTTATTTAATTTTCATGTACAACTTTTTAACACAAAGTACTTCAAACATCTTTAATCATTATTATATATATATTTTAAGAGATATTAATACCATATAATGTATCGCATGTGTAAATGCTCCTCCCCCAATTCACATAATTTTGTTCTAGTCATAAAGGATTTTTTTTTTTTTTCTTTTTTTTTGCATAATTTTCCTACTTTTCTTGTTATATTAAAATTATAATAACTAAATTAAATTTAAAAATAATAAAAATTACTTAAAATTATATATTACACATAATTTTGTTTTAATTGGAAATTTGGTGCCAATTAACCTTACATGTTACGCATAGGAAGCTATTATGAGCTTTAATTAATACTGGGAGCATTTTAGGAATGTAGTGCATAGAATCAGGACAATACGATATTGTGTTAATAGCTA